CCCAATCACTTTATTGATTCGTATAGAAGATATTGGACGGAAGACTTATAGTAGTATATCATATATAAATTATCTAACCTTAAAAAAATTATTCTGAGCAATGAATTGTAATTTATGTGCAAGTAGAAATGTTCAGTTCATGTCACGTGAAATTTTCATAACTTTTAATCAGATATAAATTTTGATTTATGGTGTTGTAATAATGACAAGCATGCAAAATAACAATTCAATTCTACAACATTTGATAAGAACAGGGCATTCAGTGAATAAAAAAGTGGTTTAGTAAAAACAATCTGTAAATATTTTCTTCAATTAGAGTTATGGAGACATGTTGAAATCACCAACCACTCACTGTTAAACTACCATTAGATACCTAGAAGCACTGAAAGACGGCCGTTTCGTCCTGGTATGGGACTCACTAGCAGTGTGCATCCACGACTCCTGCTACTCACGAAATTCGAATCCAGAACCTTCGGTCTCACCCATTTGTCTTCCGTGGTAACTACCTACACCCGACAGGGTAAAAGCTCACTGGTCAAGCCTTCTCACTAGAACTACGAGAATTTCCTAGTGAAGCTAGGTACTAGTGAGCACATTATACGATTTTTTCAATTTGAGTTATGGAGATCAGTGTTTTTCACGCGTTTAAATCATCATTCAATCATTACCATTGTAACGGAGTCAAAATCACCATGTATGATGTTGCTAACCCGTTCTGTTTTATTTCCTATTTCAGGGCGATCAAACATAAACGCTTTGGAAGCTCAAGAACAAGCCCTACGTGCTCTAAACTTACAGGACGGCTCATAAGACTTTGGTAAACTACCAACCCTTTTTGTACAAACCCTGTGTATTTTAATTTTCAAATAAAAGAGTGCCGTCGCTACCACTTCGTGTTCTCTCTTGGTGTGAGGTGTTGAACTAATCTTGTGTGTTGTGATTTTAGATCCTATCCGCCCTTCACCGACTGCTGGTTATACTTATTACACCATAGTTTGATGCCGGGCACAAAATTGTATCAGCTCCCTTGAAACTGCAGGTATACCGTATTGATAAATGACAGTTAACATAAAACTATTAACAGTCTTGAAACTCTGAACAGCTGTTTTGTTTTAAAAAATGAGACTCATCAGCAACACACATAAATGAATCTATCACTATGGATCAAAACCTTTGCTCCTGCTTGCGAAGACAACCTTAATACCACTATGCTGGTATCAGTCGATCATTTAATGAACCCTTAATATTTTGTAAGTATTTCTAGTTATCACCTTTGTCACTAGCTGAGACGGATGAATGAAATTCTTATTGTCTATTACGTTGTGTCTATTTGAAAAAGCACTATCTATCAACTCCGTAATATATGTGCAATTGTTTCAATAATCTAAATGTTCACATAAACCAATGTATTTACACTTTACACAAAAAAACTGTAATTTTCGTATTACTTGTTCTCAACTGAAACGAATCTATCCTCAACAACTATCGTATTATTATTGATTTAATGGTTAAAAACTATTTTGAATAAAATAAATCTTTTTATTAGGAAGTAGAAAAGAAATTTATATGATTGCCATAATACATTTGTTTGAAATGTTTATTCAAACTAAAGTGTGTGTTGGGGAAATTAGATCCCTAGAACTCGCTATATCAAGACGTATCCTTAGTCAACGGATCAGAGTAGCCTACCATGTCACTGGTTGATTGTCTCGTTCTCATTTATCGACTAAGGTGATTCCGTAATAGTTTCAAGCATATCAAGTAACCAGTATAACAGTATGACTACAGAGTTAAAGGAATAAAGACAAATAGCCTATTTGACTGTTTTTTTTGCAATAAATAAATAACTCTTCAGTAAATGACGTTATAAATTATGGGATAAATACAAGGTCTGCATCTATCGCAAAAACGCCTTAACATTTTACTCCTAATCACGACTAAATAATGCTAAACAAAACAATTTCAAGTGGTTCTATATTGTTCAAACATGAAAAAACCAATTTTTCTATGAATATTGTTAAAGTATATGCACTTTAAATGACATTTTTTTGTTTCAATGAATAAATGGATGGAAGACATGAAATGTGAAATACTGAATTCTGCAGATGAAATTAAATGTTATATGCAAACAAATACATTCCAGATATATATATATATATATATATGAATCCTCTATGTTCTTAAAAACCCTATTTTATTTAATAAAAATATAGTAATTTTTATTTGACATTATTATTTATGTATCTATTTATCGTCTTAGGGTTGTGGAGATTGTTAAGCTGCTTTGAAATCATGAATTGATCATTTTTGGATCATCATCAGAATCTTTGAATCACCGGACAGCTGTTTAGTCTTGGTATGGGATTCATCAGAAGTGCTATTCCACGACTCCTGCCCCTCACAAACATCGAACGCATATACTGAAACGTCATCATGTGTTCACTGATGGCTAGCTCTATGAAGACGTTCTTCTGAGTTCTAGTTGGAAGTTGTGACCCGTGGAGACTAACCTGGTTCGAGTGGGAAGCACTGATCACCCAAGTTACTGAATGAGGTCGCGCAAGACGGTGGATTGATAGAAATTACACATCAACCACCTCTGGATGCCGGTTAAGTCGTCTAGAGGTTTGGCGTTCACGCGAAAGATCAGAGGTCCTGGGTTCGATTCCTCCGAGTACTAGAGCTGTGGATGTGTACTACTGATAAGTCCCATACCAGGACCAGACGGCCATTCGATGCTTCAAGGAACATAATGGTGTCCTAACACTTTTAAATTCATGATTTCAAAGGTACTCAACATTTTTGCTGCAACTGTTTAATGAACAACTTTCCGTATAAATTTTACTGTCATAAAAATTATCACATGATAAAATTAACAAAGATTAAACTTGAAATTTTCTTTATTTATGATGAAAAATTAACCATTAATTACAACAGAATCAAAAAGAATGTTCAGTCAAAATAAAGAAATAAAGTAATAAATCATAAGATTTGAGCAACTACTAATTTTAAAAAAAAAATAAATAAGGTTGTAAATTATAATAAATAAAATCTTACTTTAATAGTTGTTTAAAATTCGGATTTGATCATTTTATTTTTATTTTTTAAAAAAAATTAAGAATTAATGAATTTAACAGTTCTCTTTGAAATACACTGTTATAATATGATATGTTGAACTAGTTAAAATAAACAGATAGGTGGTCTGAATTAATCACACTGTAAAACATAATAATTACATAACTAAAGGTTTGTCCAGGTTATTGAAAAATAATTGAACAGTATGAATCTCTGAACTAGCTTCGATACATATTTAAAAGTAGTTAATTTTTTTTGGTGAAATGTATTTATTTACATTTTAGGTTGATTGAGAAAATATTAAATTTTTAATTGTGTTTCTAATATGTTGAACAAAGAGTTTTTGTTTTAATGGTCGATATTATTTGGTGAAGAAATCAGAAGCTAGAAAGCATTTGATAGCCATTTCATTCACAATCTGCGGTGGGAAGCGAGAAGCCAGATTCCAGCAGAGAATGAAATCCGGAAGAAGCGCTGGAAGTGGATGGGAGAGACACAGAGGAAAGCAACCGACTGCGTCACGGAACAAGCCCTCATCTGGATTCCTCAAGGCCAAAGAGAAATAGGAAGACCAAGGAACACGCCGTTCTGAGAATCGGAAACAGACACTTGGAAATGAATAGCATTGGGATAGAGCTGGGAAGAAAGGTAACCTGTGCTCCGTTATTGATAACAGGCGTAATTAAGTAAATAATTCACAGTCTCAGAAGGGAACAAATATACAGATATTTAATGTGTGAATCCTAATCCGTGTCCTACAAGTATCTGATTCGTTGAGGAATCAAAATATCATCTCTATTTGTCACCATATTCGAAGCAAATCTTATACTTTAAAAAAAACACCTGCACTTTGATATAAATTTTTTATGAAAAGAAGTTCATATAATTTACGGGACTTTGATAAAAGATAAGTAATGCCGGTCGGTGGGCTATGCTCCACTGTGAATAACAGACATTATTAATTCAGTAAGTAATAAATAAACATTTCGTGAAAATCATGAGCTAATAAATATTAGATAACTGTTGAAAACCTGGATGCCCTGAATTGTCGTATCTTTTCAATCAGTTCTTCATCAAAGTTCCACAATGATATCTAAAGTCAATCCCAATAAAATAATTGGAACCTTCAAGAAAAAAGGAAAAGATGAAGACCAAGGAACACATTAAGCCGATAAATATAGACTGACATGGGAAGAATGAACAAAAATTGGACAGAACTGGAAAAGGAAGCCCAGGACAGAGCAGATTGGAGAATACTTGTCGGCAGCTTATGCTCCATTTGGCGTAACAGGTGAAAGTAAGTAAATAAGTAAGTCCAATGAACGATGCGAACAAAAGACTTATTTTTACATTCAGTTTCAATTTATAAAAATTCTATTCTTACATAACTAGTTAACATTGGCGCTCACTGATGATTAAATTAAATAACTTAACTCACCATCATCAGATAAATATTCTACTCAATTTAAAAACTTATTTATAGGTAATAATCCAGGGCATCTGATGAAGAACAATACTTCCTCCTTTTTGAACTAGTCTTCTTTCATTTCAATGTTTCAATTGGATTATATAATTTTTTTTTCAATGAACTAATCACCGTTTGTATAAACACATTTTAAAATAAATAGATTCATTTAAAATACACTAACAATACACCAACATTTCATTACATTGAGACAAACAGTTTGTTAAAGTGTAAAATGTTTAGAAGAGAAAAAAAATAAATTCAAAAACTAAACTTTCCTATTTCTAATATCTATCACAAAGCTAAAAATTACACAATCAGGTGTGAGATCAAAGAGATATTTATGAAAAATGCATGACATTTTGAAATCCACAATCAAAAATACGGTTATTATTTGTTGTAGTTTTTTTCTTTTTTTTTAACATACAGAAATCAAAATTGTAAAAGCGCGGTAGCTTACTTTCATTATTATTATTATTATTTCTGTTGTCGGTTTGCGTGATTGTATGTTTATACTGTTAGCCAATCTATCATAGTAGTAGTAGTAACAGTAGTAGTATCAGCAGGCGTTCTGAAATAACAAACAGATCACAAAAAGATACTCTGTGATGCAACAAATTCATTCGTGTATTAAATTTAGGTAAAATTGTTTTTAGTGTTTTCTTTTTGTACAAATTTTCATATCACTGTATTTGTGATTTGTATATAAATGAGTTTCATGTCTCATGCTGTTCATGGAACATATATATATATACATAGACATAGATATATAAATATAGATATGAATAATAGAATAAGGTTTCGCTTTTGTGTGTGAAAAATACTGATGATACTTTTTTTTTTGTTGTTGTTGTTGTTGTGGGAAATAATCCCTACTGATTATGTAAATAAATAAAAATATTGCTAATTTATCAAATGAAATAGTGGCAGTGATTATCAGATGGAATAAATAACAGTAATATATAGTAGTTGGAATAGGAATAGTAGTGAAATGTAGAGCATGGATTTCACCTTTTTTATTGGAACTCGTCAACCAAATGTTTCAGTATTTCAGGGTTAATCTTTACTCCTGGATATTGACCGGGTTATTCATTCAGTAAGTATATCTATCTGATGAACCGCAAATAGATTGAAATGCGTGACCTGGATTCCAAAGCTCATCATATTCCATCTTACTTGCTTACTTACTTACTTACTTACGCCTGCTACACCCAATGCAGCATAGTCTACTTAAATGCAATCTCTAATCGATTCTCTCCTAGGCCTCCCTTTCTGGTTCTGTCTAATTTATGTTTATTCTTCTTATGTGTCTCTATTTATCGGCGTAATGTGTTCCTGGACCTTCCTCTTTTGCTTTATCCTTGAGGGTTTCAAATGAAGGTTTGCCTTGTAACGCAGTCGGATGCTTTCCTCACTGTGTGTCTTATTCACTTCCAGCTCTTATTCTTGATTTCTTCTTCCGAATCCTAAGTATTTTGCGTAGATAACTGCTAACAAATACTTGTATCTTCTGGATCATGGTTTTGATGGTTTTCCAAGTTCCCGACCTAAACAGTAGGACTTCGTATAGAAAATTCTGACTTGGGTGTTTATTGATAGTTATTTTGAGTTCTCGATGTATTTTACTTGTGGAAATGCAGCCGTCTCGTTGCCGATCCGCGCATTCACATCTGCTTCAGATCCACCTTGTTCGTCGGTGATGCTGCCCAGATGTGTAAACGATTTTGCATTCTCCAACTTATCTCCATCAAGTGTGATTTGGTTAGTTCATATAGTATTGTATCGGAGAATCTTGTATATTGACACCTGCTGCTGATGCTGCTGCAGTGTGTGCGATAGGAGAGCCAAATCATCTGCGAAGCCTAGATCGTCCAGATGCATCCTAGCTGTTCATTGTATATCGTGCTTCGCTACAAAATCGACGTCTTCATAATCCAGTCAATCACCAGGAGAAAGAGCAAAGGTGAGAGTAAGCAACTCTGCCTGACACCGGTCTTCACTTCCAACAAGCCCCTCATATTCCATCTATTCTATGTAAATTTGAATCGCATCGCATAGGATGCACTAATTAAGACTAAATTCAATTTCAATCAAACTATCAATAAAATAAATAATCTAAATCAGTACGAATCAAATAAAATAACTTTCAGTTATGCCAAACTATAACCCAGTTAATTGTAATCGGACTTAATGGAACTGACTATGAAAACAAATCAAGAAAACCGATAGACTTTGAGCATTTGAGTTAAGTTGATTGGTTGGTGAAAAGTACCTGGAATGAGTAAGAAAGTTCACTTTTGCATAAGTAATCCTACTTCAGTATTAGTTATATTTTGGTTGATAGTAGGGATAGGTTAGGCGTTCACCCACGAACCCGAAGGTTCTCGGTTCAAATCCTGCGAGGTGCAGGAGTCCTGCATGTGCACTGCTGATGAGTCCCATACTAAGAAGAGACGGTCGTCTATCAGTGCTTCAAGGTTTCTAATGGTAGTCTAACAATGACTGATTCATGATTTCATTGTGTAACTGTAATTGGAAAAAAACTATTTTGAAGTACTTGACGTATTCCAAGTTTTATTTAATCATTAGTTTTGCCAACTTTACATCATTTCCACTTTATATTTGTCACATAATCATCCTATTTCAGGTTCTACTGACAATCAAGAAGCACACTGGTTGGCCTTTTCTTCACTTTTTACACTCTTCAAAGGTGTACATCTTTGAATCCACCTATAAATAGAATCCCTAAAATCCATGTGTCACAGTGAAAACTAAAATATTCGAACCCGTGGGTCATTTTATATATTATTTAAAATCTCAATATGAGTTATCTAAATCACAGAAGATAACTGTCTCGTGTTATCTAGGTCGTTCAATGAATAATTATAACAAAATCAACTAGTATCAAAAATACACATACTCGATTTCAAATTTGTATCGAATACCTCCTATACATTAATCATATAGATCAGTCTGTTTAAATCTAACTTCACTTCTTCATGTCTATAAAAAAAAACAATCTGATTGAAAATTCAACAGAAACTATGACAATTATTCTATGAAACTAAATCTACATCACTGATTGTTTGTTTTATGATAATAATAATTTATTAACATTTACAAATGACATGTTGACAATTGAAATAATAAATTAGATTATAACGCTAAAATATGTAACTTTTGACTTAGATAGACAAGCGAAAAAAAAATATTATCCGACTGATTTTAGTATTGAATAGAAAAAAAAATAGTTACTTTTGGACAAGAAATAATGTCAATAGTGTATGCTGTGTATGATTTGAGAGTAGACAATACTGATAAGGCAATAAAAAATATTGTTTTAAGTAGTAAAGAGCAAAATTTGTTTTTTTTTCATTATGCGTTGTATTCTTGAATGAATGCAGCAGTTAGAAATTTAAAGATATATGATAAAACATGATGACAGGATGGTATAATTACAGAACAAAACAGCTAATCTGTCTTGTTAAAAGAATCACTGAAAAACGACTAAAAGCATAGGATTATTATTTTATCAAAGTTTTGAGCTTATCAAGACTAGATAACAACGAGATATCATACTGAAAAGATTATTATTCCGTTTGACGCTTCAAATCCATCATTCATACTTTATTAGTTGTGAATGGTAATATTTTACTACATTTGCTCAGTAGTTTTAACTGAAGTCAGAGCATTTACTAAATTTAATCTTTTTTGTATGAAATTTTAACTGATCAAGTCACGTCAATTACAACGAAGAACTTCGTACGTACGTACATACATCAGTTCAGGTTGCCATACCGCATCAGCATAGAGACGCAACTGTCAGTTCAAATACCATAGTGATGGAAATAGTAGAAAAATTACTGGTAATGCGGAATATTATGGATTTAACATCGTATTCAAGAAGTATAGTTCAGTGAGATAATTTTAGAAAGAGAAAGATAGAGGTGATGATGAATTCTGAAGATTAGAATTTAAGAGAAAGCAAAGAGTGGATACTCCTGAACCACTGCAAACGATTTTGAGCCATGTCGTTCAAGGTCTCTAACCATCGGTGACTTTCATCTCGAAGACCCCAACCAGTTAGACTAAATCTACCAACATGGCTCAATCCACTTGTCAGTAATTTCATGGATTTGTGCCATGTTTTGCTTTCTTCCAACCTATTCCTACACCAAAAAACATTCCTCGTCACGGCAGTCGGTGGTTGGGCATATGTAACACATGTCTCAACCACCTCAACTGATGAAGTTTCACTACTTCATCTATTTGGTCTGCCTTCCCTGCCTAGTACTCGTTTCCTAACCATAGCATTGCATACTTGGTTTTCCCAGGATAAACGTGTAAGCAATATTCTGAAGACATCTATAATCGAATACTAATAACCTACGAATATCTTCTACTCTTAACGGTCATATTTCGCAGACATAAAGTAGGAAAGAGCGAACTGCTGCTCAGTCAGCAAACGGACATCTCGCCTTCACAATAAGTGACGCAGGTTGGCTAAAGCCAGTCGAGCCATCTGTATCCGTGCTGAGATTTCGTCAGTCACCAGGCCATCAGCACTGACGAGACTCTCGAAATAATTAAAGCAGTCGACACTGATGTTGTGATGGAAATCATAGTGAAACTGCGCAGATATAAACTAATGAGCATAATCTATGTACCTCAATAGTCATTGAGAAATGTACTTGAGTTCGTCCATATAAGGACAACGTTTATTTTTTAATTCAGGCTTGTAGATTTTTTTTACATGATACTCCAAATTTCACCATATGCAAATTTGCTATCAATAACTATTCTGATGGGTTCAGTAAACTGTCACATACATAAAAGCTCGTAGTCAGTTGGAGTAAGGAGAAGGTGACAGAAATTCAAGGCTAATGAAAAGTGTTACCGTCATTCTATGAAATCGATAACAGTTAGTTTAAATCATGCTAGTAGGTAGAGCCTAACCAGTTGGAGATGGGTGAATTCGGAGAAATTTGAGTATAGTGATGTAAATGCAGTCATAGATACTAGATACTGATGTGCACAATAATTTTGTACTATTTTATTTCGTGGATTCCCTGCTTGTACTCAAGTCATACCTTTTATTTCTGGTGTTTTTTACTTTTTATGGTATTATTACATTTTTTCCTCAAACTATGTTACAGTACATCAGTGAACTAATCAAATCAATGTCTGTCACTCGTTATCGAAGAATGATTGATTTACTGAGACCTAACTTAATATTATGCCAATCTTCGGAAAGAATTTTTCAGGCTCAATCATGGAAAAATTTTGTTTATAGCCTTGATTTTTGCCTGTAGTACTCTATAGGCATAAAACAGTGATCCAGTACCCTAAAGCCTCTGAAAAATCTCTACTGAACTGCGGTCTATAATGAAATTTTACAATTTGTGTATATATATATATATAGTTACTAATTTACTGCTGATTAGAATCAAGAAGAATCCTGATAATTTGAACAAGAATCCGTAATCAGTTGTTTTTTTTCTAAACTTTAACAGTTCGTTACAAAAATGATGTAATCATTGTAAACTCATTTATTTATCTGAACATGTAAGT